CATTTTATGGGGAGTGGAAAGGGGGGGGGGGTGGCGGTGCTTGCTTGAAATCAGAAAAACTGCAGCTTCTCCAGCACTAATCCTGAGTATTTGTCTGGTGTGTGGCTTTGGAAGGCTTGGCGCTGGCCATAAGCTAAGATTCCTTCTCCCTGTTCTAACAAATGCTACTACAGTTGCTCAACCCGAAAGCCCTCTCTGAAGTCTCCCTCCTTGCTGTGGCCTGGAAGTACCACCAGGCTGGCTGGTGTCACCGCCTGGCACTGCACGAGCAGAAGATCTGGGAAGCTTCCAGTGTATGCTGAAAGATGGATAAATGGATGGTGATGTGTCTTGAAGATCAGCTAATCCAGCACTTCTCACACGCTCATTCTCTTTCTTTTTCTAGTTCAGGAAAGCTGGAGAGCTTTTAAGTATACTGGCAGCAATGGAAAACACCAAATAGCCCAAACTTATTGTCCAGCCTTGCAGCAGTGAGGACTAGCTCTCTTCTAGGGATGTACTAGTGCCATGAAGGGCCAGGAAGAGGAGCTGGCAGCGTTCCCACTTCACTTGTCCTGGTATGCAAGGAAAGCCTGCTGACAAGTGCAATGCTGAGCCTGACTCTCGGCCCACGGAAAGCTGCAACGGGTGAATGACATATGGAAAAAACCAAAGCTGTCTGACTGCAGAGATCTTCTAGTTATTACCCCCTTGTACTGACAAGCACCTGCCTTTCACCTTCCCAGAGGGTGATGCTGGCTGTCCTGCTTTCCTTGCATAAGGGGCCAGCAGCTCTGTGTACTTTCATGGAATCATAAAACAGTTTGGGTTGGAAGGAACCTTTAAAGATCACCCAGTCCAACCCCCCTGCAATGAGCAGGGACATCTTCAACTAGATCAGGTTGCTCAGAGCCCCGTCCAACCTGACCTTGAATGTTTCCAGGGATGGGGCATCTACCACCTCTCTGGGCAACTTTGCTCACTTTGAAGAGATCTTCTGCACCAGAAATGAAGACACAGCCATCCTGGCAGACCAAGGTGTTGCTTGCACCTTTGGCTCTCTCCTCTTGCCCAAGCCAGGCTCAGAGCAGGAAGGATATACTCATTACGCAGGGAAAACTGCACCATCACGCAAGCCAGGGTTTGCCCAGTGAGATCCTGGGGAAGAGAAGACTCTGGTATTGGTGAAGGGAAGGCTGCAGAGACCAGATAACACCTGCTTGTGTCGGGAAGGCCATGGGGAAAAGGAGCAGAGCCAATTAGACTCGCCAGTCAATGGAGGAGAAGTAATGGGATTAAGATACAGGAGGGAGAATTCAGATTAGATGTAAGGGAGCAGGCTATCATGAGAGGAGCAGACTGGGCCATCGAATGAGCTGCCAAAGGAATCGTCATCACCGACACAGACGCAGCAGAGAGCAGACACGAGTCTGCAGGAAGAGCAGGCGCCTGACGGCTGCTCAGCCTGGAGCTGTGGCGGGTGGATGTCTGTGTGCCGGGGGAGATGGGACCACTCCACCACGGAGAGGCTGTGCGCCAGAACAGGGACAGACCGTCTCTGGATATCTGTGCTGATAACCCGAGCCGCAAGGAGAGTTAAATCAGCTTCCCTTTAGCCCAGTGCGCTGGAGTCCATCACCAACACTTAGGAAGAAACCTGTACACGCACACCCTTTCTGCTGGCTGCATCCCATGCTGGAGCTGGGAAGGGAGAGCCCAGTTGTCTGCCATGAACTTCCCTGCCTGGCTAGACATGCTGCCTTGCTATTGCAGGCAAGGAGAAGGAGAGGGAGCACAGCCCCAGTTTCAGTCTGTCCTCCTCTTCAGCTCCACCAAGCCACCAGGCAGCTCCTGTCCCTCCTGCCCAGTCCTGCTCCCCTCCCATGCCCAAGCATGCCATCCCCCTTCCTCAGCCTCAGACAGAGCAGGAAGGTCTCCAGCCTGGTGAGAATAGAGCAGGCTGGACCAGGGGGGCAGCTCCACCAGGAGCAGTGGGGTAGCAGGGCCAAGAACATGAGGAAGGCATCTCTGAGAAATCCTGGCATGCAGCAGAGAGCACTGACTAGAGCGGTCCCATGTCTCCTCGGGGTGCTGTGGGTCTGGCATGGCCTCAGACTGTGGCACTGGGACAACATCTGGGATGTGGCTGCAGCTGGCACTATGCGCATGGGGAAGGTGTTCAGCAGCAGGAAGGCTCTGCATGGATCCTGCAGCAGAGCAGCAGCCGTGCCTCAAAGATATATGTGTCCACCTGGACAGACCATCTCCAGAATAAGATTTCATGGGTGAAAATGGGGCCAGATGAATGAGTTGAGGCAATCTTACGAAAAGGCCCAGAAAGAGCCAAGGACAAGGTGCCTGAAAGCAGAACTCTGCTGCAGGTGCTAAAGAACAGGGGCACAGAGACCCTACTAATCTGTCCCTATTCTGAGGACTGTCTTTGCCCCCGGGAGCTAAAAGGCCTGCCAAATCTTAGATAAATCCATCTGTCCAAGGCACCTTGGAGGCTGGAGATAGAAAGACGAGCCATGGCAGCCTAATTTAAGCAATGTGTAGGAGATTTCAAAGAGAACATGTTGGGAAGGACAAGCGGACCACATTCCTCACTAATGACCCATTGCAGCTCCACTGACTGAAGGTCTCCTGATTCACCAGGACACACGAGCACACACCATTATCTCCCCAGAGTCACGAGGACCCTCAGCATTGGCCTTGGCTTACATTAGGCCCTTGGAGAGAGAAGCACAAGCGCACAGCAAGCCAAATGTCATCACTAAGCAAGGAAAGCCCAGGGCAGCCAAGGAGGCTGTAGCCGCTTTCACCCAGTCTGAATCTGTGCCAATAATAACAAGAACAAAACACAGAGAGGGATGTGCCCACACCGGAGACCTTATGCTTCTCTGTTCTCAAAGGGACCCTCTTATTTAAGCCAACATCTAGGTCTGGTAGTGAGAGTAAGGGCAGATGACAAGACAGAATCATAACGGAGTGAGATTTTAAGGGACTTTCGGTTCAAACCACCATTTGGAGTCTAGCACTGGAGATCCACGAGGACAAGCTGACTTGAAGGGCAAGAGATGCTGACCAGGGCACGCAAGGCACGAAGAGCAGAAGAGACCGCTCTGGGGGCAAAGCCAAGCGGAGCCTTACGATGCCTGCAGGCGCTGACTGCTCCAGGCTTGCCAGCAAGAGATGATTTTCAAAAGAGGACTGATGTGGTGGAAGGGTGCATTTGCAGCCTCCCCAAGACCTGGGAGGTGAAGCAGTACGGCAGCATGACTAGAGAAACAGACCCTTCACTAATAAGTTGGCAGGAAGAAGACCAGCTGGACTAAATACAATGGCGTACTGTTTGCTGTTACATCTTGCCTTTCCGAGATGGATGTGGAGGCAGACACCAAGCTCGAATGCCCAGGTGCTAACAGACCCAAGACCTGCTGGTCTCAGCTGTTGCTTGCCCCAGCAGATGAGGGAAGCATGGTGAGGCTGAGGAGCAGTGCTGTCTGAAGAAATTCCTGGCTGACTTGGCATGCACTCCCCCAAAGAGCTGACTGAAGAGGAGACAGCTTTTCTGAGAAAAGGGACACAAGAGACCCAGGGATGTGTTGATGGAGAAGGAAAAGCTGGGTGCATGTATGCTGCAGTCACTGATGCAGCTGCAGTGACATGAAGGCTCCTTGCCCAGCATCACCAAGATCCTTTCCAGCAGGACAGAAGGAGCAGCACAGAGCTCGGAGCCGGCCAACCTGCCCTGACAAGAGCAAGGCAGGGGAACCCAAGGGCTAATGGGCTGCACAGAAGGCACCTCGCTTCTCACAGCCTGATACCTGTCTGCAAAAACCTCTAGTGCAAACCGCTCCGTTTTAAGCAGGTTCCCCTCCAAAGTATCCCCAGCCTCTGTTCTGCAGAGCACCCCTCACGGCAGACGCCTACCTGACTCCCAGCTGCGGCTCCTGCACCCATGGCGCGGTCCCACAGAAAGGGAGTCCCTTTGTTCCTCATTTCCCCAGCCCGGGTTCCCGACGCTCCAGCGTGCATTTCTCCCTCCCCACCCCTCAGAGCTCTCTGCCAAAACCAGGCTCACAGAAGCCTGCAGCTCAGAGTCTGCAGCCAGAGCCCAGCCTGATCTCATGCAAAATTCACTCCTGCAGAATTCACTCCTGCAGACATGCACCAGCCTGCTGCTCTATTATCAATAGGTGAACTGCAGCTGAACCTACCAGAGCCTTCCTTGATGCTTGTCTGAACCGATTAGGACACACTTCAAAGACAAGAAGGAACCCCAGCCACTTGATGCGCCGCCGACTACCACGATGCCTGTCCCAGTGCCATCCTCTCCCCCTTCCCCAGCTCACCGGGGGCCTCCCGTTTTCTCTTTCCAGCTGAGCCCTCCTCCAGCAAGCAGATCAGTAGTGCCGCAGATCTCCGCTCCGTCTTGGTTTGCACATTCATCCCTTCCCCGGTGCTGCCTGCCTGCTGTAATCCCAAACAGAAAGCCCTTTACCTAGGGGACGCTGACTCTCAGAGCTGGCATGCCGAGGTTTCCTAAGGAGCCAAGCCTGGGATCCTCTGGAGGCGGTGCCATTCCCAGCAGTGAGAACAGAGTAACAGTCGGAGCATAGTCTAAAAAAAAAAAGTGGGGAGGGTGGGGAACAGTCGGGGGGAAGGGGAAGAGCTGGATTCGTGGCTTTCAGCCTTTGCTCTAACCTGCCGCTCAGCTCCACGTGCCTGGGTGCCCCAGACCTTTAGGCACAGGCAGTTACACGCTGCTCCCAAAGGGCCCGCTCCCCTCCACCCTGCGAGGGGTCTCGCTCCAGCGTGGGCAGCGGGGTGGGCAGAGGTGCAGCAGGGCGCTTTCTGGTGGCTGCTGGTTCCTCGGAGCACAAGCCAGCCTGGAGCCAGGGCTGGGAGCCAAAGCACCCCCCTCCCTGCATCAGGCCTGTCTTTTTATTCCCCCCTTTGGATCTTGATGCCATGAATTACGGTTTGGGGGTTGGTTTGGTTGGCTGGGTTTTCTTTTTTTTTTGCATGTGGTGGTCGGTCTAGAGTTCTGTGCCATGTCAGGGGGAGTATCAGCACTCACCCCTCCAGGAGGTCAGAGCCATGGCCGGGGGGGGGGGGGGGCTTTCGCTGGCTGCCGGAGCGAGGTGCCACTCCATCCTGATGTCCTCCTAGGCCCTCTCCCTCCCCTGCGCTCCTCTCCCCAAATCCTGCGCTGGCTCAGGCCAGGCAATGGACAACGAGATCTCACTGCCATCTGCTTTCACAGTGAGGTCTCCACGCAGGACCCGTTGCGGTGGAGGTGACGGTGGTCATGGTTCAGGCAGCCTTCGTTGCGGTGCACGATGAGGATGGGGAAGTAGAGGGCATCCTGGTAAGGAGGGGGGTCTTCCTCCTCCACAGTCACCTGGCTGGAGAGGCGGGTCTGCTCGGTGGGGCAGCTCTGCTCGTTCAGGCTCCCGCTCCGGCTCTGCCAGAGGCAGCTGCGTCGCGAGCCGTACAGGCGGCCCAGGGAGAAGCGGCTGCTGCTGAAGGGGATCCTGGGGCTGCCATTGCAGATGCTCAGGGCACTGCGGGAGAAGATGGAGGAGCTGCTTATAGTCCTGTGGCACCGCTCGCAGTTCTGCCGGTAGCCCCCGTACCTGCAAGCGGAGTAGCTGGTGCAGCTGGAGAGCCCCACCAAGTCCATCAGGACCGCTTCCGAGTAGCTGGGCACCAGCTGCTGGTTGGATCGGATGTGCCACTCCAGCTCGGTGCTGTCCACTGTGTTGACGCGGGGCATCCTCCGGCAGAAGGAGCGTTCCTCAGCCGGCGTCACTGCCACGTAGTCGAACCCAAAGAGTTTCTCCACGTGGTAATGGACGTAGGAGGTGCGGTACTCATTTAGCACCCGCAGGGGCCAGGATAGGGTCAGCAGAGCTGCCACCCAGAAGACATAGTGGGATACGTACCAAGGCAGGTTGTCTGGGTCGGAAAAGGCCACCATGTATTCCTTGAAGTCCACATTTTTGAGGTGCATCCCCTCCCTGGCCTCCATGTAGTCATCTAGGCCCTCGTTCTCCGTGAAGAAGCGGGCCCGCTGGGTCAGGTAGGAGTTCTCCGACTCCACGTTGGCAAAGCTGAAACACTTGGTGAAGCGGAGCCGCGTGGCCGGGTAGCTCTCCAAGTCAATGAGGTCCTTGGAGATGTCCTTAACTCCACAGTTGGAATAATCAAACTCGGCCTCTGCCACATGGGTGTTGACCCGCTCGTGATACACCTGGGTGGTGGTGTAGGCATCCCCGTTGCGATAGCGGGTAACCTGACGGGTCCTGCGGACATAGTGGTAGCTGATGGCCTTCCACCAGATGCAGGGGGTCGCCTGCTGCATCCGCTGCACGCGCTCGTGCACGCTCTCCACGTCCACTTTGTACTGCAGCTCGTTGCGAGTGTAGCAGTGCCAGCACTCCACCAGGTACACCACGTAGAGCATCACCAGGAAGGCCAAGGGGATGTAGACGTAGCCGTTGGAACAGGGGCTGTCATGGTACATCATGGACTTGCCCTTGTAAGCACTGTCAAAGGTCAGCCGAGTCACCTTGGTGACATGGCACCAGGTCATGGCTCCCATGCAGCCGTACATGAGCAGGGACAGCAGCAAGCATTTCCAGTGGGACTCTCGGCACAGGGACTTGCTGAGAGATTGCTTCACCGGCCGCTGCTGCTCCGGGGGACCGGGGAGAAGGAGAGAGAAAACAAGAGAGGAGTCAGTAGGCTGCAGCAGCGGGGGGAAGGGGAGCAGGCAGCAGGGTGCCGTGGTGGCACCTGTAACTGTGAATGGGGACAAAACGGCAGATGCCGTAGGGCTCCCAGCCTCAGCAGGCAGGCCGGAGGCTGGGATCTCTCCCAGGATGACAGTCCTGCAGTGTGGGCAGCTGTCACCTCTGCTTCCCTTCGCAGTGCTCTGCCCCTCCTTGGGAGACGGCCAGAGCCCAGCTGGATGTGGAGGAGAGCAGCAGAGGGCAACTTCAACCCCCTTCTTCCACAGGGAGTAACCCCCACCACTGCCACGTCCCGGGGAGGGGTATTGAAGCACAGCAAGATGGAGGCTGGGGGATCTCCCCCGCATACCTCGGCTTCTGCACCCATCCCACCAGCGCAGGCAGCTCTAGCTGATGGGTCATCCCACATGAACACCTCGCCACAGCTCATCCCACCGTGCCTCTCACCACTCGCATGTGAGTCTCTCCCCCTTTCCCAGTAACGACCAACAGCAACGTTCAGATTTCTCCTACCAGGGCAGCACAAGCGGCCTGGGGTGCCCGTAAGGTGAGAAACAGACCTCCAGCAGGGAAGGTCTCTGTTTGGTAATGGCGATTCCCACCACAACACTTGGCAGCCCAAGGGGCTCTGAAGTGCTTCTCAAGTGCTTTACAAACCACACAAACAGGAAAGTACTTTTCCACGACTGAAACGCAGCCACCTCTGGTGGGAGAGAAGGCGAATATAGAATATCGTCCTAAAAGGTGTTCAGGCTGGAAGAGAAGAGTACCCTACTGATCTGCAGCAGCAGGGAGGGCGAGTGGCGGGGGGGGGGCGGGAGAGAAGGCGAATATAGAATATCGTCCTAAAGGGTGTTCAGGCTGGAAGAGAAGAGTACCCTACTGATCGGCAGCAGCAGGGAGGGCGAGTGGCGGGTCATGGCCACCAGTAAATGTCCCTGCCTGCACTGGAATTCAGCTGTGACAGCCACACTTGTGGAAAAACTGCTCTCAGGTCCTTCATGGTGAGGAAAGGGCAGGACTTCAGCAGTAAGACTTTTAAAAGAGATTGCACTGGTGCCTTCACCACAGCAACCGTGCAGGGTTTCACAAAGACCCAGGAAAAAACCCCACTTAAGGAAACCTCTGTCACTCTCTGCAACACCCTGAAGTCTCAAGTATTGATCCAGCTTGGTCAGTGAGACCTGACAGTATCACACCCAAAGGGAGAACATGCGAAGAGGTTATTTGTTTTCTTACACAAAAGACTTCATCCAGCACAAATACCATCCAACCCAGCAATCTCCAAAGGTGCGACCTGAGAGAGGGGGGCAAGAACCCCAGCCTTGTGCGGATGCCACTAAACTCACTGAGAGGCTTTCAGCTTTGCTCTCCCTCCCCAGCTGCAGGCAGCATGGCTCCTGAGCTCACCTCCGCTGTTGTAGGGGCTCACACCGCTGTAATGACACCACTCAGGGCAGTGAAGTCCAAGCCTGGCCCCCATCTTTCCTCCATTCCTGAGTGCACTTGGGCTGGAGAGGTCTTTCGTACAGGGATTCCACAGAGCTTAATGGGCTCATGCTGCTAGAAAGCAGGGGGTCACTTTCACTCTTGCATGAAAAGGGAAACTAAAGCAAGAACCAGAGGTCACAATGTCACTGGCAGGCCTAGGGACAGAGCTGGGCCTCTTCTCTCCTCTAAGAAATCCCCCTCACTCTCCCTGAAGAGCCCCCTCAGCCCTGACTCGGTCCCCTAGAGTCCCACATGCTAATCTTTCCTCCCTACACCTTGCCAAAGCCTGGTCCACCCCATGCCAGTGGGATTTCTGCCACTGTGATTAGCAGGGTTGGATCTGGCCCAAATCTCCAACAGAGGTTTCCCTCCCGGAGGCAGGGAGCTTCCCTTCCCGCCTGCCCAGCAGCCAGCCTGCGATGAGCGGAGCAGGCAGCACATCCAGAGGGGTGGTGAGGGGAACGATGGCACATCCCACTGCGGGTCTTGAGCATCAGTAGCGCTGAGCCCCCCTCTTTGGGGCAACTGGCTGAGAGCAAGAGCCAGCGACAGAAACACGGAGCCCAGGGAAGGCAGGTGGGGTAGCACTTGTCTGCAGGCAACAGCGAGGGGCATGGGGCAGCTCTGCTCAGCAGCTCCTCCATGGGCACACGTGCACCCCAGTCTTCCCAGTGCAACCCTCCACTGCGGCAGCGTCACGGTCATGGGGCAAGAAGGGAACCTGGGTAAGAGAAAAGGGAGCGAGGAGAGGAAGGGGGGGCACCCAGCAGGCAGAGCCGCCTGAGCTGTGCCCTCCCCGCTCAGGTCCATGCTGCAGTTGCAAGAGCCTGCCCGGATCCCTCTGCCTTTGCTCGGCTGCAGCACGGCTCTCCTGCGCTGGACTGCTGTGCCACTGCCCAGGCAGCTGAAGGTTTCCTCACCCACAGCTGCCTTCTGCGTTGCAAATCTTCCCCAGCAGCGGCAGCCCTGGCTGTGAGGCTCTAAGGGGACTGCTCAGCCGAAGGAGGAGCACGGAGGGGCTGAGCAGGAGACGCAAGGCACACGCTAACCCTGGGGTGCCTGTGGGGTGAGAGGGCTTGCACAGAAACAGTGCCATGTTTGGGGGGGGATCTGCAAACGGAGCACAAGGAATAAAGCAAAGCATTCAGCTCAGTCATTTGACAAGTTGGGGAAGGGGCACCAGGGAGGCAGGTCTTCAGCAAGGTCCATCTCGGAGAAGCAAATTCCACCTCCCAGTCGCTCCCGGGCCCCTCACATCCCGCACTGCCTGCATCATCCTGCCCAGAAAGGCGATGCTTGCTGTTGCCCTGCGGAGATGCAGGCAAGCCCCACTGCGGCTACCCACCCGGGGCAGGGCAGCAGGGAGCGCGATGCAGCCCAGGCTTGGTTCCAGGAACTGTGTTAGCAGGGCTCTAGTCCACGCATTAGTCTCCTCCTAGGACTACGCAGCATTTAGATACTGCAGCGCTTTTACAGGGTCATGCTAACCCCTGCTGTAAACTGTTTACAACCCAGTTTTGTCCTAGGCTTTTGAGGGATACACATACACATCGGCTACGCTGGTGGGGTTTCTGAAAGCTGATCAAGTGCCAATGACAGGGGATACAACCACAGCAGAGATGGAGGAGGAGCCAGCTGCGGAGTCTAATCCCGGTAGGAACTGCAGCATCCCTGCTCCTCTCCTGGGCTGCAAAGGGCTCACAGGAGCAAACAACTGGCTCCGTGGCTTCCCCCCACAGAAGCAGCTGAATAAGGTTGCCTCCTCGAGCTCTTAACCAGCCTTGGAGAAGTCCAGCACACCAAACATGTGGATGAAAAAGCTGGGGAAAGGGAAATCCTTTCTGTCCCAGAACAGTGTCACTGAGAGGAGAGCAGGCTCTGATATAAATGCCATCGTCATCTGCCCGCTGCAGTCTGATGGAACGAGGCGAAAGGCTTGCCCTACTTCACTGCAAACAGGGTTTCCCTCCATCGCTGGGAGCCTCCCTCATTGCTCAGGCTTGAGCACTGGAGAGCGGTAAGCAAACCCGCTATTGCAGGTGCACGTAAACATCTTTGCAGTGCTAGAGGGCACAACTGGTCCAGCCACGGCTTGGCCAACCCCTTCGTGGGACCCCAGTCAACTCCCTTCTCTGTGCTCCATGCTGTTCACCATGGGACAACCCTTACCAGGCACCTGGGCGCTAACTGTAACACACATTGGGAAGGGCAAGGGTTAGCAACCTACAGCCTCCCCTCCCTCATACACAGCGTTTGCCTCTGGCGTTGCCCCTGAGGTGGAAGGAGATGGAGTCCCACACCTGCAGCTGCTGCTCTGGGATGGGAGGGAAGGGATGGAGGGGGTGACTTAGGAGCAGCCATGAAGCAAATGGAGATGCCCGCAATGCACAGGGCAGAGGCAGTAGAAGAGAGGGCCCCCATCGCTGCTTGCACCAAACTCCTTTGAGATTTGGGGAATCCTCTTCTCAAAAAAGCCTCGAGGGGATAAACTTGCCCAGAGCCCCGCTGGCCAAGCACATGGGGCAAAATACCTTCATCGCCCCTACAACCTTGTCCCTGCAACTCTGAATGCTAAACAACTTCAGAAATCCTTCAAGCTCTACAAAGCTCCTCTCTGAAACAGCCTGGCCCTGGCCCCATCTACCGTCCCTCCATTTAACAAGTGTTCCCATGTCCTCACCTCCCGTGCCTCTCACCTGCTTCTCCCTGCAGAGACCAGCTTGAAATCTCCAATTCACCCACAGAACGCTATGCCCTCACTTTGCAAGATGCCCCGGGGCTCACAGGGTTAGGTGTCCTAAAGAAAGCCCTCTACAGCGCTGAAAAAACAAATCAAAAGCCCCAGAGCAGCAGCCTGAAGGCCCAGGTAGCTCCTGAGTGCCAGGCTGTGGCAGCAGCTTGCAGGGGACTCCAGTGGGACTCCCGAGCATCAGTTTCCATGGCTCTGCCCTGCTGATCTGCTTACATCATGCAACAAATGAATAAGCCCTGTCCCCTTTGACCTCAAATCCCCAGAACAAGGCAGGTAGGGAGGATCCAGTCATTTCTAGGAACTGCCACCATCTTCCAAGGCCCCAGACAGACATCGGCAACTCCTGGTCAGGATGGTCCCAGCAAACCCCCACATCACACCCCACATGCCTACCGCCCAGATTCAGGAACTACCTGCCTAGAAGAAAGAGCTGGCTCAGCCCCAGGCTGGCAGCGTGGCCAACTGCAGAGGAAAGGGGAAGGCTGAGCATCTAGGAGCCAGGGAACTCTGCCAGCAGTCAGCTCCTGCAACGGCACCAAGGTCTCCATTTTACACAGCAACTTGGAGGAGGACTGCTTCCCTCCATCGGATCCCACCTGAGCAGCAGGACAAGGACGTTTTTTCACTTGTTCCCAGGCTGAAGAGCTTGTCCCTTGGCATTTCATACCCTCCAAGGTGGAAATGCATTGCTGAGTGAGATTCAGCTCACCACCATGAAGTGTAGGTGTATGCATGTGATGCCAACAGGGAACAAGGGCTCAGCCAGCCCACTACAGCCAGCTCTGGCCAGTAGCTCTTGCTGCTTGCCTTGCTGGGACAAGCTGAGCAGCACCTGAAGTCTTGCATGGCTCCGAGGTGCAGTGACCCAAGACGTGGCAAGATGAGGCACCCCCAAAGAAGGACAGAGCTCATTTCCCATTTTCCAGTCCCCAGACATCTCCTCTGGCTCCCTGCCAGCCCTGGCCAATGGACCCTTACAGGTGGGATTCGGCCACGTTCCCGGGATGCTCAGCAATGCTGGCAGCAGCAGTTGGTCCTGATGGAAATGAGGACATCACACTGCCAGTACAGCCTTACACAGGCACTATAGGGGAGCAGGAACACCCTCCCCTCCCGATACTTCTGAAGACAAGAGGATTGCCCTAGGTCAGTCCATGAATCCAAGGTCCCCACTAAGGTCTCTCCTCATTGCATCAGATGAGACACCAGCAAGCATGGCACTGTCAGGAGAGGCTGCAGCTTCCCTCTCCTCCACCAGCTGCTTCATGCAAGTCTCTGATAGCTTCTGGCCACGGGAAGCGTGCCCTTAGCCTCAACAGTGCAAGTCATGGACTGCAGCCCTTCTGCCTGCTCCCACGGGGTAAGATTATACTGACAGCCTAGTTGGCAGCCACCACAGAGCAATCAAAGCCCAGACGATCTTCTTGTAATCCCCGTGAGGCAGGGGACACTGTAGGCGAGGGAAACTCACCCCAGCACTGCCCCTGCTACGCTTCTTTCATCCAAACTGGCTTTCGCTCTGGCACCTCTCAAAAGCCACTGTGCTCTCTTGAACGTAGCAGCAGCGCTGCCAGGGCACTGGGGGCAAGAGACCATGTCCCAGCGTGGCACAAGCATGTCCTCACGCTAAAAAGGCGCCTCATGGTTTAGCTTCACTGGTCAGGATCTGTTTGGAGA